ATCGTGCATACAACCTAATGGCCGGACTTTATTGCTGGCGGAGCTAAACCGAACAACCGACCGCATCACCAGGCAAGATTGTGTGATATGTTCCTCCGCCAAATTGTCCTTGTGGAACATGAAGAAAATAGATATTTTCGATAGAACAAAAGCGAATTTTAATAATAAAACAACGATATAAATTCATGCAACTTTTTCACATGTATCAACGTTTTAGTAACTTTAATAAAAAACAGTTTTTTACTAGAAAGCGAGTGTTAAAATGTTGTGCGTTCTTATTTTCCGTCACCAGAGGGCGAGTACACTAAATGGGCAGGGAAGGGAAATTAAATCTTTGATTTAAAAAAAATATATATACGATATGCGTTATGTCGACGCTTATTCAGCGAAACGATGCAATGTAGTTATTTATTAAAACTAAGGGGCCAAGCCCAGCTCCTGAAAAACAACCCCACACCATAATTACATTTCAGACTGCATTGTGCCGACTGTGAAATTTGGTGGAGGAGGAATTATGGTGTGGGGTTGTTTTTCAGGAGCTGGGCTTGGCCCCTTAGTTCCAGTGAAAGGAACTTTGAATGCTTCAGGATACCAAAACATTTTGGACAATTCCATGCTCCCAACCTTGTGGGAACAGTTTGGAGCGGGCCCCTTCCTCTTCCAACATGACTGTGCACCAGTGCACAAAGCAAGGTCCATAAAGACATGGATGACAGAGTCTGGTGTGGATGAACTTGACTGGCCTGCACAGAGTCCTGACCTGAACCCGATAGAACACCTTTGGGATGAATTAGAGCGGAGACTGAGAGCCAGGCCTTCTTGACCAACATCAGTGTGTGACCTCACCAATGCGCTTTTGGAAGAATGGTCAAAAATTCCTATAAACACTCTCCTCAACCTTGTGGACAGTCTTCCCAGAAGAGTTGAAGCTGTAATAGCTGCAAAAGGTGGACCGACATCATATTGAACTCTGGGTTAGGAATGGGATGGCACTTCAGTTCATAGTATGAGTCAAGGCAGGTGAGCGAATACTTTTGGTAATATGGTGTATATATATACATATATATAAATATACATATATATATATAATCGATCCCGGTGCCATGTGCTGCAAACAAACAAACAAACAAAAAACAACTATTACATTTATATCAGATGAAAAGTTCCACTATGGATGTAAATATTTAAATAAAATCAATTGAGGGACACTTTGACTTTTTCTCCACATGTTGATTCTCTGATCAGACAGACCAGTAGGGGTAAGTGTGGAAATCTACAAAAATAAATGTTTGGGTTTTTTTCTTTATAATTTTTATTTCACATCAGCCTTTCAACAGGTTATCCTTGTGAGAAGAAGCCTGCTTTGAATGTTTTAGAAAGCAATGTTCTCGCTCGCAGAAAAAACAAAAATGTCCATGTGGATTCAAACCTCAGACATGCTGCAGTACTGTGGAACCTGTAACACAAACATCACATGCACATACACACAGACAAACAGTAAACTCTTCAAGACAGGTCGTTCAGACTGGAGAGGAAAAAACCCCTGCTCTACTCCCAGATTAGGCTCTGATGGGATTTAATCTGGAGTACTGTCATTAAGTAGAAAATGCAAAGCCAGGTTGACTCAGTATTAGCAGAATATAAAGTTCCCCTTCACATGAGCAGATCAGTGAAACCCTTAGGTTACTGACTTGCCTTGAAAATACAGTTCTCCCCAGTGAAATCTAAGTGTCCATCATTTAACCTTTCACACACTTAGTCAAAATGTGCTTCTCCACAAGTGACCCAAAACCCTCTAAGTCATCCTGCTGAGACCATGATAAAAGAACTAAAAACACCAACTCCTACAGCAAAAAACAAAAAACAAAGAAGGAAACACCGCTTTAGACTTTCACCACTTCAGATGGACGAGTGCATTCAGGGTTGACACCTGCATGTATTCCTCAGTGGTAGTAACAAACAAAACCAATAATATAACTTAGTGAGTGACTCAAATGAGACATGTTCAAAGAACTCAAGTTGATTGAGGGATAGGTGTTACAGAGAAATGACAATAAAAACAGGAGCTGTTGCAGGTACTGCTTATTACAGTTCCTGCAACCCAGCAGTGCTAAACATAACCGAATTGAATTAAAAGAAAGAAGAAAAAACAGGAAAAGGAGCTCAGTGAAGACAGTGTGACTCAACACCTCGGCTAACTCCTAGCTCTGACCGTGGACCGATAAAGTGATAGCGAGTCGGACTAGTTTTCCTCATCTTCGTCATCATCGTCGTCGTCTTCACTGATGAGGTATCCTCGGGCCCCACTGTGGTGGGGCAGTGGCGATGGAGACGGGGATGTCTTATTGAAGAATGGTAGGCGGAAGGTGGGTGACGGCGAGCGCTCCTCCCGACTGGGGCTGTTCTCTGGGCTGTGTCTGGGGCTGATGGCCTGCAGCATGCGGCCTTTTCCTTCTTTCAACATATGTTTCTGTCAAATAGTTACATGACTGATTCATTAATCAGATTAAGAGCTGTGGATTAATCACCATTCATTGTCACTGTAATTAATCATGATTAATCAACTTTTCTAAATATGACCGAAAAAAGAAAAAACGTTTTATCCGCATATTTCAAGTACAGAAAGACCATCACCATAGTTAAATAAGTGCTTCAAAGGTACTTAGTCATGAATCTGTGTGAATATGAACACATTTTTACAGTGACTGAAGACCAAACTAAACAGAACTTCTCACCAGAGCTCCTTCAGGACCAAACATCTGCAGAAAGTTTCCGATGAACTCTCGGGATTTCTCCTCCCACTTCTGGATGAGGTCGATGCTCTTCTCCTCCACCTTCTGCACAAACTCCTTGCTTTTCTCCTCCACATCTCGTACCTTTCGCTTCACCTTGTCCACTCGCTCCTGCAGGTTGTACTTCTTCTCCTGGAGAGAAAGCCAGCGGCAGAATTTCAAGAATCATGAGTGATGCACGCACGCACATGCATGATTATGTTTAAAAATCTTAATAATAGTAATAACAATAAAACAGCTGGCTT